AGCTCCCAAGGCACCATAGACTTAGAACTGTTGTAGCAAACAAATTGAAAAATGATGAGTGAGTTCCACAAGAAAAAGAAACAGAAGTTTCGTCAATACAAATAAAACAACATAGCGCTGACGTTTCCATGCATGTTTACGAGAGTGTTAGGACGTTTTTATTAATTTTCTTAACTCCAGTGCAAGGTGAATGAAGTGTGTCACATACATGTGCGCTTTTAATTTTTCCAACTTCATAGCCTACGGAGTAAGTAAGACGAGTGTCCGGTTAATGGAAGGACATTTTAAGCGATATCTGCTAAATTATAAAGCTATAAAGCTGTCGCGTTCGCGGCTCCAAGCTGCTTTCTGTAATACGGCGGTTCAAAGGTTACGCCTTTAAAACGTGTGATATATATGTATTTACTTACCATTCAGCAATATGATGAATACGCATTTTTGTTTTTTTCTTAAAGAATTGAGACACATTTTAGTAAGGGTAAACGTTTTATTCATATAGCAGTGGTGATGATAACTGCGCACAAAATGTCATTTCTTAAGTAAACAAAGCTTTCAGTAAGTTTGCTTTCAGCACACCTACGATTGAGTGACATCACCCTTAACCTAAATAAAAAGTTCACGTTTTGCACAAGAAACATCTCAGAAGTCTTTGGGCATATAGATATACATGTATGAGTGGCGACAGATAAATTTCAAATGTACCACTTAAGTGATGAATGGAAATGACATTCAAGTCCCCCCCCCCCCGAAAAAAAAAGAAAAAAAAATCAACAGAGAACTGGATATCATGTCAAATCGTGGCATGTTCACAAGACAAGTTAAGCCTTTCCTATTATTTTTTTAAATCTCCATAGCTGCGGAAAATAATTCTGTTTCATTCAAGATTTGAAAAGGAAATTTGATGCTGTCAAATCAGCATTACCTATTCTGTTAAAGCAGTCAGTTCATAAACTTCATTAAATACTGAAGCCAACACTACAGAGCGTGATGTTTTAAATCCCTCATTGTTTGCTAAAAGCCCGCAGGATTAAATCCCCAGGTGGGGTTTGTTGATTTAAAACTGTCGTAGCAGAGTTAATGCAAAAATATTTGCTCTAAAAAAATATCAATATAGAATTTAGCCTATGAGCATGTTTGCGAGACTTGTTATGGCGTTTAAATTTTTCACTTCTTATCTCCAGAACTTTGAGATAGAATTGTGTCTTGTCTAGGGTTTTGAAAAGGAAATTTAATTTTGTCCAATCAACAGAATTAATTCCATGGTGGCGCATAGTGTAAAAAGTAATAATGGGGGTTAAAATTAACAGAATAAGAAGAATAAGGTCAATAAATTATAAATGGATAGAGAGTTAAAATATTGAGATAGAAAAATAAATGGTACAAGATAAAAGCCAGTCAAATCAGTTATACAACTTTTTCGAAACCAAATATTCTAATTAATTTTTAAAATTGTCCTCGGACTCTTTATTTAGCTTTTTAGGCTGTTGGGAGAATATTCCACTCATCAGGTCCATTAAATTTTCAATCTGGTATAATGGCAACAACAACAACCGTTTAAGTGACCTTAAAACGTTTTGGAGCATAATGATGAACTAATTCTAACAGTTAAAGGGTGCTTTTTGATAAAAATGGCATGCATAAAAATTAGGATTTTAAATAAAACGCTTGCTCTAACAGGGAGCCAGTGCAACTGGTGTAATATGAGTCTCCCTGGATGTGTGGGTTTAAAGCTGTGGAATATTCTGTATTCGCTGCCGTTTTTTTTTATTCAGGTACAATCATGAAGTTAAGACTTCAGGCCTACCCAACTACCAGACTCGGCACCTAAGGATCCTGAATTAACCGGTATATCGGACCACGCTACCCGTTTTCAAGGTGTTTGTCAGATCGCATTTCGGAGTATCATACCCCAGAACAAATTTTGTAGCACGACTGCGGGCTCATCCACGCTCGGCTGAACAACCTGAAACTGTACTCTTACTTTAGAGTACTCTATTTTATCGTCTCTATGGGGGTATATGGGGACTTTACGACATTCGGTTTGAATGTTTTAACCACTTTTGATAGGGCTTTTTTGCATTGTATTAGATTAATGTGGCAGTCTANGTGCTTGGTGATCAGATTTTCTTTTCCCAAAGGAGAGTGGAAACTAAAGGATCAGACTCATCTCAGATTCCTCCTGAGGAAACCTGGTGTTACAGTGGATTGGAGACTTGGAGCATTTAGTACTTGGGTATTTCATCAAGCATATGGGTAAAGAGGTCATGGGTTTATTCCTCAGAACCTAGCTATACACATAGGTCACTGCAGGTTGCAAAAATTGGAAGGTTTCTTCCAATTCACACATTGATATTTGTCTTACATGAAGGACTTATGGTCCACATGGGTGTGATTTGAGTACAGTTTATGAGCTTACTGGGCGCAGTTTCATCACCTCTTCTTATAAGCATGGGAAGTGCAAATGCTTGGCATTTTGCAACCTTTTCCAGCATGGAGGGGAATGTCACCACCTTACAGTTACATGGTATTATGGAAGAGGTGCGCATGATTTTTGTACAGCTATATAGATTTTGGGGTCTTTAGATATGACCAAAGGCCCTGCATATTTGCTTTTTGCAAAGCAGATCTTAGGTCTCTCCTCCCAACTGAGGATGCTCTTCATTTCTATACTTTATGAGCTTTACCCTTACCAAAATATTAGGCCAGTTGCAAATTTGCTGCAATATTGCTGCAAATCTGCTGCAAATTGCAATGCCTTCTTTCCATTTTGCTGCAATATTCTGCAAATTAGCAGAAATAAAATTTAGATCTAAAATCTAGACTTAATGATGTGGGACATAATAAATTGCTAAATAGCAAAATGCATAGTTGTGGCCACCATCTGTATTCCCCCAAAAAAAAAAAAAATGCAACTAGAAAGGCACTCCGAGAGCACAGACCTCCACCAAGGCAGCAAAGTCTCCACCCAAGGTCGTTTCACCCCTAAATTTTCATTCTATAATGATTAAGTTTTTTTTTATTGATTGATTGATTCGAATCACCACCAAATACTAATCATCTGTTAATTCCTTGGCCCACTTATGACAGTTCCTGAAAATTTCATCAAAATCGGTCCATGACTTAATTTTTTTTATTTTTGATTATTGGTTATCATTGATCCAGATCACCACCAAAAACTAATCACTTCTAAGTTAACCCATTTCTGACCTACCCTGAAAATTCCATCGAAATTCATCCATAACTTTTTATGTTGATGACAAACAAACGAGTGAAAACATAACCTACTTGGCGGAGGTAACTAAAACACCAATGTAATAAATGAAACTAGTATCTGTTGCATAGTTCAGTGAATGTTGTGTGAAGTTTCAATAAAATATGAGTTTACCTTTGATTCCATGAAGCGAAATTGGCATGGAATCGGAATTATTATTGTACAAAACCTTCGAGCTTCTTTTTGATAAACAAATAAATAGATAATGATGCCATTCTAGACATGTACTTTGACAACATAGTTCTTATGCTGTAAAATACAATGGTCGAAGAACATGCATATGAAAGTGAAAAAACTTGTAAATAATTGACTGTGAATAAACATGCCATCTTAAATTTATCTGCAAAAAGTGAAAACATTCTCATATACACATATATTGTAAAATAAAAATGAAATGTATTTCAACAAAGGAGATGTTTCAACTTTTGATGAGATACGTGATTTTGATTCATATGAAGGTAATGATAAGGGATTTATAGTGGCCATTTTGGGTGTTTCTATAAGCATAAAGCCATCATTCTGTATATATATAGTAAAAAATGCAAAAGTTAGGGTAGAGTATCTATGTTTGATGAAATTTTGCTTCTAGAAGATTGAAAGAAATTCTGACGTAAAGAAAAGGAATTAAATTGCAAAATTGGTCAAATTTTGGCTGCCATCTTGGATAGAGTGGCCATATTGGATTTAAAGGCAGTCTATAATTAACCTTTATAAAATTAAAACACGTGTACTTTACCCATATGTTTTAAAATGAAAGTATAATGTACTTCATTAAATGAGATATACCAACTTTTGATCTGATATATGTTTCGCCTTTGACACATATTGGTAAGGGGTGTATGGCAGCCATATTGGATTTTTCTCTAATAATCAAACTTTAATTATGCATTCAGATAGCAAAAATGCACACAGTATTGAAAAGATTCTATATTTGATAAAATTTAGCTTTTTCCATGATTGAAAGTAGTTCTAGATTACAGAAACCATGGCTTCATTGCAAAAACTTGTGAAAATTTGGCCGCCATCTTGGATAAAGTAGCCATCTTGGATTGAGATAGCTCTTTGAATTTAACTTTAAAATATTGAAGCAATTCCCCTTTACCTCAAAATTGTAAAATAGAAATAGCACTTGCTTCATTAAAGTAGATATTTGAACTTTTTTATGAAAGACAGATGGTACCTTGACTCATAATGGTAAGGGTTGTGTGGCGGCCATATTGAATTTTTTTGTATTCACAAAGCCTCTATATTATAGGCTACATAGATGGTACAAATGCAGGAAATAGTAGAGGCAATCTTTATTTGATAAATGTCTGCTCATATCAATATTGAAAGAAATTCTAGATCAATGAAAAGAGGATTTAATTGCAAAAAATGTTGAAATATTGGCCGCCATCTTGGATAGAGCAGCCATTTTGAATCCAATTGACCAATTCCTGCTACAGATCACCAGATAGTATATATTTCCACAATATATGGACAATAAAAATATCTACCCTGAAACAAACTGAAAATATCAACCATTTTTCATAATTTATCCATTTATTGCATATTCCTTAGGGGTGGCGGCCATCTTGGATTTTTGGGCACTTTCGCAATTGAGCCCATTTGTCCAATAAGCAGATTCATAAACCCCAGATATCAGGCTCTCCGACAATATATTCGAAAATTTTATATCATTAAAATTTTTTTTCACCCTTTTTTTTAGCCTTGGCTCCCCTACTAACAGTTAATTCAAACCTCTGACAAACAGCTTTCCCAGCCATGCACTCCACTGAAATCTAAATTGTCTCATGTTCTGTAAACATCAAATTATTTTATAAGTCTCAAAATCTACTCAAATCTACTCTGTTGGTTAGTGGCTGGCATATAAAGGTACTGAGGTTGTGCCGCCATACTCTGTTGTCTCATATAATCTATCAATATCTCACCTGTCGTATACTCTGTTGGGTAGTGGCTGGCATATAAAGGTACTGAGGTTGTGCCGCAATACTCTGTTGTCTCAAATTATCTATCAATATCTCACCTGTCGTATACTCTGTTGGTTAGTGGCTGGCATATAAAGGTACTGAGGTTGTGCCGCCATACTCTGTTGTCCCGAGGGGTTGTTCTGTGCCGCCATCTGTTGGGCTGACTGAGGAGCTAGGGGTGGCTTGTTTAGATCATGAGTGGTGGCTCCGGTGGCTGACACTATAGCTGTACGAACCTTCAGGGACAGAAACAAAGATCGAAATGTACTAATCACAACTTTCTCGTCCAAGTTGTTTTCCATTTTCTTTCATGTGTTTTCCGCACGGACAGAAACAAATTTTGAAAAGAACCAATCACAACTTTCTCGTCCAAGTTGTTTTCCATTTTCTTCATGTGTTTTCTGTACTGACAGAAACAAATACTGAAAAGAACCAATCACAACTTTCTTGTCCAAGTTGTTTTCCATTTTCTTCATCTGTTTTTGAAAGCATAATGTTGTTTTTTGGACACTGCTGCCTTGTTAATGAAATAAATTAACTAACTCCTACTCAGGGGTTGAGAAATAATAAGTAATCCATTAGTACAGGAGGTAGAATGGAAGACATGCTGTCAAATAAAATTATCAGGTGGAAGCTTTTAATTAGCAATCTCTTGATGTGAAGAGTTATTTGGAAAACACGCAGAAATGAAACTACTTCTGTACTTGACACCTTGCACTGACAATGGGAGCATTCGCAACCACTTGATCCTCGGACTAACAAGTCCATGGCCCTGCCCCTACATGAAAGCGTAGGAGGAAGGAAATCAATAACATAATTTAAAGGAGGTTATGCAGATTCCTTTAAGTTTCCCTATAGTTAGTCCACGTATCAACTGGTTGTGAATCCTCCCAATGGCTCTACAAGCAGAAGTGTGCTTCATGGTGGAACAGATGCTGTTGTCTTGACCTGCATATGTGAGTGCATGTGTATGTGTGTGAGAATGAGAGACAGGGCGCATTCGAGAGATCGAGAGAGAGAGAGAGAGTGAGAAAGAGAGAGAGGTAGAGGAGTGACATACTTGTGGTTGTTCCTGTTGCTGCTGCGTTTGTTGTGGTGGCTGTTGTTGCTGTTGCTGATAGTAGACTTGTTGCTGCACAGGGAATCCAGTTTGCTGGATTGGCTGGTACTCAACTTCTGCTCCTGGGGAAATAATACACCAATTATTCCAGGTCCAGGTAAATAATGAAATAGTTTCTTTTTTTGATTTCTTTTTAATATCCAACTTAAAGATGAGGATAAATTGAATATTCTAATCTGTTATGCTGCATAATGCAGATAAGTCCTCAGGAAAATTATTCTTCATCACAGAAACGGGGATTAAAAGAACATGAATCTATTCAGTCAGTCAGAGATAGAACACGGTCTCCACTGAAAATTCAGAAGAACGAAAGTCTGAAATTATCTCATCATTTGACTGGGCCGTTTCTGCACGTCAATGCCAGCATAAAAGGGGGCTCTACAACATTTGCTGGGTTTGCTACTGAAAAGTAATGCACTGGGTGGGAAAGAGAAAGCATCCTTAGTCTTTTTTGAAAAAAAAAAAAAAAAAAAACTCTCTGGGCTTTAAACTGCCAAGTCCCAAAAGCTCATTTAAAAGCTGTACAACATCAGCACTTTGACCACTATTCTGTAGAGTTAACAGTATCGCAACACCCCTACCATACACACTCCCACAGCCCTGTGTAGACTTATGGACGGAGATCGAGCGCTCATCAATTTGCTAATGGTGTTCTGACGAATCAAACTAAGAGGCTCCTTTTGTATTCCCTATTTAATAGCATCAATTCATTCACACTTCGTCTTCAATGGCATCAGGACAAGAATTCCACAATCCAGTGTGATTTTCTTTTTTTCTATCTGATTATGGTACATAATCCTGTGCTGAGCACATCTGTTCAGTAATATTCTTCATGTATTGAGTATAGGAATAAAAAAAGTCAAATCCTCAGGTGAGCTTGCCTGTGTCTAGCCATTACCACTGGCCCTATCCTGACACTGTCCTACTGACCTCTCGGTGACCTTTGGATGACCTCTGGCTAACATGACAGTCTTTTAATATTCCCAGACACACCCTTCCCACCTCCCATCACTAAACAAGGCAACTGATGCTTAGAGACCTCCACTGCAACTTGTGGCTTTATCTTTAATTCATGACAATCATATCACACAAAACTAACTTCAACCTGACACAGCAATACTTATGCTAGAAACCTACATGGTCACACTTTGGTCCTGTCATCCTCACCCAAAACAGATGTGTGGGTGGCAGCAGTTTAGTCTGTACAACACCATCATTACAGGGTTTTTTTGACATGGTATAACAAAATGTAATATTAGTGGAGTCAAATAGAGCTAAATATTATTCAAATTGTCAGATAATTTGAAAGTCAATATTTGATCCGTGCCCAATGTTCTCCACGACCTGTTTTAGGTGGCGCAGCGCCACCTAAAATAAGCCAGTGCCCGAGAAGAAGGGCAGTAACAATTATCTGGAGGCCAGGTGCAGCCTCACCACCCCTTACTGTGGTTCAAGATAATCTTCCCAATCCATCCTGGTGTCGGATATTTCACAGACTCACTTCCAAGTCAATGACTGTCAATTTCCCCCCAAGTCCTTCACCAATTTCCTGCTGCATAACTGAGCACATTTAGACCAGCAGAATAACTAAATAAACAGATCCACGAATCAAATTTGGCAACCCATATAAAAGCTTGCCACTTTAATCCGGATTAGACACTAAACAGATTCCCCGCGGGAATCACACAGCAAGCATTCGAGTGGGTCGGCCATATTTGATCCACGGATCTGTTAGTCCGCAGTTCTGAATGCGCTCACCGAGTTACTAAAGTCTGTCCAGAAACCACAGGTTCATTCTGACCTGATAAGCACACCATAACGAAATCAGGTTACTACATCAGCCAGGAAGTCCTAGGTAAGATATACTGTTCTAACATTGTTTATTAACTGGTACGTGGTCCTCTAAAACACACATTATATATATTTATTTATATATACCTATATGTGATAAGGCTACCACATAAACACAGGCACCAAGGCCACCTCAGCTTATATCAACAGTCTGTGTTTATTCTTGCTAGGATAACATATCACACTCCCTTCCTTGATGTGAGGCAGGGCAGCAGTGCCAATATCAATTCAACACTATTTTTGACCAGGAAAAATTAAACTACTTTCTTGTTTGTGAAATATATGTGCAAACATCATCATCACCATCCTATGTTTAAATTTTTTTGTTTTATTTATTTATTTTTTGTCGTTTATAAATTTAAAAAAAAATTTATGGGGGGGGGGGGGGGGGGGATAGTCAATAATAATGACCATGGCTGCTTAGGCCTGC